ACAGACAAAACTGGTAAGGAACTTAATTGATTGCGAGTTTATAATTTTGATTTTCTCATTCATTTTTCTCATTCACTTGCGTTTTACTGTTTGGTATATGTTACTTGTTGGTATTGTATTGTATGTTTATCAAGTTTGGTCAAAATCAATGATTCCAACGTTGTCTTATCTCCTCGTAAAAAGGGAATTAGGTCATTTATACATGCTATGAAAAGATAATGAAGTAAAAAAATAGGAAAGGCAATAGACATAAATATCATAACACTACACACAATATCAATTTTAAGCTCGAAACTAGAAATTCTAAACTGCACTGTTCTGAGTATTTAAATTCTTATTTTTATCATTTTTTTTTTACATACATCGTCATGATATGCCAATTATATAATAAAAAAAAGGAAGTTTATCATGTCATCACTATTAATCATTTTTGCCCATGAGATTTTAGTAGATGGACGTGTGATATAATACATAATAGAATAAGTATACATTGTGATGACTGTTATGAGAGAGCCTAATTGCATAAAAGAACGAGAAAGAGAGGCGAGAAGAGAGAGAGAGAGAGAGAGATATTTTCCTCGTAAAAAGTGTGAAATAATCGGTTAATACAATTTAGGATCATGTTCAGTTTCAAGTTAGATTGTAGTTTAAATGTAACTTAAATGTTCGAAGAGCATCGACTGCTGTTATTGCAACCGTGTAAATCCAGTGATAACTAGTAATGAGATGAATTAATCGAAAATAACAAGACTGGAGTAGTCGATTCCCTTTGGAAAGTACAGAGATATGTATATTCGATAGCTTTGGTTTCCGTTTAATCATTAAACCAATCGGATAATTGAAAAGAAGCGTTGCGCACGCACACACACACACACACACACACACACACACACACACACACACACACACACACACACATACATACACACACACACGTGCACGCATACACGCTACCGCTAACATACTATCTATCATTATTATAAATTACTGCTATTGCTATATTAGTACTAGTGCTCTACTGTTATAAAACTGTCATTATTCAGATCTGGAGAGACGAGATAATCACGTAGATAGGAATTTTCTTTTGTTTTTATATTAAAACTTAAGAGATGGACTTATTATAGATGCTAAATCATATTCTGTTATTTCTCTTTTTTTTAAATTATTACATGAATAAAAAAATGGATTTCTGTTAAATATATTTTTTTTGTTTTATATGTTGTCTAATTGTTTCATCAAAAAAAAGAAATACTCTCAACGAAAAATTACTCATAATCTTTACGTGATATATCGTGAATATTTTTTAGACCGTTAGTCTATTTATAAAGAAATGAATATTTATGAATATTTATGTATGAAAATAAAACAAAAAAGTATTTGATAAATAAAATGAAATAAAGTTAAAAATTTTATAATTTTTAGTTAAATTATAGTTTAATATTGGAATTTTTAATTTCTTTCGAACAAATAAGTAATATATTTTTTGTTTATCGATATTTTCTTGTGCGAAATTGAAGTTAAACATGAAAATGTCTCTGATACGTATAATTATTGTACACGAAATATTTTTCGAAATTGTCTGAAATATGACGTCTCGTCTCGTAATGATCTTTACATACTTCTAATTAGCCTTAATATATATAAAAAAAGAAAAATAATTAGAAAAGGATAGTACATACAATCGATATATTTATATTCAGATGCGTAAATTAGCAATTACACAAAAGAAACAAAAAAGAAAAAAAGAAGAGAGAAAGGAAGTACGGCCTGCATGTATATTGAATGTAGATTACCTTGTTCGTTTGTACATCCGAACGTTTCGAAGAATTAACAATATGAGATTTGCAATTCAATCATCTCTAATGATGAAATTTCAAAACGCAGGTTTAGAGCATAGAGTACTATCAGAAAAATTTAGTAGAATCGAGTCGTGATTAGAGTCCTCATTTTAGTGATTTAATTTTTAAGAATGTGCGCGCGTGATGCATCTATGAAAGAGAGAGAGAGAGAGAGAAAATTCGTCATTTATCTGTTTCCACGGTTATTCTTGTAATAAAGAATCATCCTGCGGAAATACGCAAAAACTATCACATGACTTCATGGATAAAAGCTATGTATTACATTTATAAAGAGATGAAAGAAAAGAGAGTAAAGTGTTCAATTATGAAGTATATAATGAATAAATCTTTCACGAAAAAAAAAGTCGGAAAAGGATGAAAGGAAATATTCAATGTTTAAGCGAGATTTATTGATTTAATTCTTTCAAATGCATGCTATTTGCGTAAAATAATACATTAATTATTATTAGTTTATATATTAGTGAAATACAGAGAGCAGCGGAATTTTAATATATTTAATTTTAATTTAAAAATGGACAAAGTTGTAGAATGTAGTTTTGTATTTTTTTATAATTATCTCGCTTGAGTTCTTAACTTCCAACCATGGCTTATAAATGTAGTATCTAGTACGTGTGGAAACAAATATGCTTTCTAATGAAACGATTATTTCTTTTTTAATGTGCTATATTTTAATGGATAATTCACGAATGATCGAATGTGTTGCGTGTATATATGCATGTATAAATGTCTGTGTAAGTAAAAAAATCCAATTCTTTATATTCGACGATACTCACCGTTTTCATATCCGAGAATTCTTTCTAAAAATCTGCATTTTGCATTTTAACGAACCATTAATCAATTAATGCTGAATTTCTTTTTTTTGTATAATGAAACTGCTACATCAAAATATGTCTTTATTATCAAGTGTATTATTAAATGATGTAGAATAAAAAATTGATTTTTATGCAGATACCAAATATAATGATTTCATCGCAAAATACAAATGTGAAGATTGTTCATTAGAAACCTACTTTTTTTTAATAAAGAAAGGAAATTAACTACCAAGAAAAAAAACTAAACTGGTATGTTTTTCCTTTCTCCATATTTTATTTAAAAAATCGAAAAATTAATTGAATCTATAACAGCATCAATTGTATCCTTGTACTTTAACATTTATTAAATTATAATGTTGTGTTAAACCTGAATAAAAGTTCTGCTTACATCATATATTTTCATCTTATACTTCGTATGTTTGTATAAAAAAACCTACAGAATGATGAATTTCTTTTCGTGCACTTCGAATGCAACTGTACATTTAATCTTGATCACTCTAGCAACATACACACATCACTTTCATATACTCAAATACTAAAATTACATATGTATTTGTTAAATCTGGATATTTCTTAAATGTATTTATATTTACTGTGACACATCGCTATCTAATCTGATGGAAGTATCTTGGTATCGCCATTGCATCTAATGAAAGGCATATAGAAGCATTAAAAATGTACAGACTCCAATGACAAGACCGAGTATAACAGAATCTCTCCTCTTACGCAGATTTATCCTCTGCAGTAGACTGTTCACTGCTGGAAATCGATTGGAGATGTCATTAAATCGAGTTTGTATACGTTTAAATGCCTGTCTCTGAGTCATCAGATGATCCCGTGTTTCCATTGCTATGCTTATTTGATGATTGATTAATCGGTCGGAACTAAAAAGATATATTAATAATATATGATAAAATATAAGTATTGAAAGATTTTTCACAGATATGTTTAAAATAACATTAATGGGATATATATTTTAATCTTTATCATAGTATTATGAATAAGACTAAACTGGCTTACTTGTGAATATGTTGATTTTCTTTGAGATACATTTCACGCCGATTCAACCCACTTGCATTTTTATAATTGCTATAATATAAAATATTGGTTTTTCATCAATGTGATATCCATAATTGATATATAATTTATAATGGAAATGACAACAAAGTTGTACATACTCTATTTCTTTACGAACGCTGCCTAGAAGATCCTCGCGATCTTTTCTAGCAATAAAATTATTTCTAATCTTATTAAATTCCAGTTTATAATCTTTCAATATCTCCTTGTGACGTTGCATTGTATGCAACATAGCTGCTCCATTCGGCTGTAATTCGCTCATCCTTTCGTTTATGGAGAACAACTATGTTGTATGTGAGTCTTATTAATATATTCTTTTGTGTGTATATATATATGTATATATGTGTGTGTGTGTATATATATATATATATATATATCAGAAAAAAGAGCTTACTTTGGAGAGCAATGTCTCAATTTCTGATGCCATGTTCTCAAATACTTGTTCCTCATCTAGAAGAGGAATTTCTTCTGTACTGGTATGCCTAGCACTAGTATTTATGCCCAGTTTACTAAATGCCACCAACTTAGCATCAATTTCATTTTCTAGGTGTCTCGCCTGCTTCCTTAGATCTACAACAAAATAGCAATTCGTGTGATTTGACCGCAGCTTCTACATGTAAACGATAAAAAAAAGAAAATTTCTTCATGAATATGTTTCTTTTTTATACGATGCGAGTAGTATGATCAGCGACATATAAAAACAAAAGTGGCAAGATAACATCATTATCTTAGAATGTACAAAAAATATTGAATTTTCGAGACCTTTTTCTAAAAAATAAACATAATCGCGAAGAGTTTTCCTTTCTTTCTTGAATGTTTTGAACACAAATTTTGCAGCAATTGTGACCTACCTTCCCAATCGACTGTACCCAGCGAGCCAGCCATTTGATCGTCTGAATTACAAATGTATACGTTTGATTAATATGTAAAACGTCATATAACACCTTTTCACTGATATTTCTGAAGGGATGTAGAAAAAAACAATGAAATTGTTACAGATTGAGAAAAAATATTACAATAACAGGGACTGCGCAATGTCTATAACACAGCATATACAGAGTAGCGCAATTCTCCCGATTTCAGCATGTATAAAATTAAACTGCACATGTCGAGTAGTTAAGTAGGTAACCAATCACAACTAATTTTCTGTTACACTTCCTCTCGGAATTTTCTATAACGTTCTTTGTCATTTAAATGCCCAACTGGTGGGAATCATAGACATATAATAATATAGACCCCGCATACCATATACTCTTCCATATACTCTTCTATATCATTAGAGAGTCAATCATGTAACTTTAAGTGTCGGTCCACAATAGGTGATTTAAGCTTTAAGAAGTAAGAAATTGACCAAATTGACCAATTATAATCGAATATGAAAAGAATACTCGACTATGATTAGTCAATTTCTTACGGCTTAAAGATTAAATACTTATTGTGGACCGACACTAAGGTGTGAAAAATGAAAAGTAAAAAGTGAAAAATGAAAAGTGAAAAATTTCATGTAAAGTTACATGATTGACCCTCCCTTGACATTTCACGTAAAACTTTTCACGTACAGCGATTATGTATATAGCTTGGATGCGTGGAAAGTGAAATCATGAAACATAGTTTCATAGGTTTTATAGCTAATAAAAATTATTTTATTGGTACAGTATTATATATGGTACAGTATTATATTATATATATCTTTTAATAACCAATTATATTACGTACACTTAATCCTAACGCAGCCCTAATCTTCTCTAATTCCGAAGCATATTTATTAATTCCCTAGATTTCCACCTTTCTTTAGATTTCCGCCATCAAGGTATATGGCGACAAATTTCACATTTTCACGTTTGAGAGAGTTACATGATCCCGCAAAATCGTACATGATCATAAGTTCACGTGAAACTTTTCACTTTTCACGTTTCCGCCCTAGGGAAAAAGTTACATGTCGATCTCCCGTGATTAGACAACAATTTCCCGAAAAATGGAGGGGATAATGTTGGTACCAACGAAATCCTCTAAACAAAATAATTTTAGTTTCTATGGATTAGTAGCACTATTCAAGTAATAATCTGTTGGTTTGCACAACTCCTTTTTGACATATGCGCGGGCATGTACGTAATATTGTATATCAGGCCATGTTCCAAAATTAAAATTAACTGGAAGTCTGTCGCTGCTGTTATTGAAATGACTGACTTTTATCGTTCCGAAATTTAAATTTTTATTGTCTAGTACTGGATTTCGGAACAGAAAAGCAGTGTAAAGCAATAAAAAAGTGTACATAAAAAATCAAAACATAATCAATATGGATCAACATATGTTATTCAATGTTATTAGAATAATAACCGAAAACGATCAAGTGATAATAATTCTGATGATGATATGATGTTACAAATTACTAATAAATAAGATATTACTGATATTACTAATAAATAAGATTGATAGTAAACACGGACCACTGTTTTTAAAATTACGCGTACAAAATTATATTCAAAACGTAATTTCTGTATTAACAGATGCAGATTTTAAATCACATTTTCGGTAAGAAAAGTGCAGTTATTTATTGAAAATATTACTTAATAAAATATTATATATAATATTCATATTCATCAATAATATTCATTATTTATAGTAATGTACATTATTACCATATCGTTATATACTACTGTTTCAAAAATAAATGTTTTGTTAATTATAAACTTATTATTTTTAATAGAATGTTTCGAGAAACTTTCCATTGGTCCTATTATTAACCATAATAGAACTAAAGTTAGAAAAAAAGTCAAATCCTGATCTGCAGATAACTTAGTCGCTTTCCCCATTAATTTGGAAAAACAACTTCTAATAACCATTTGGACGCTTGCTACATCAGATTCATATCTGTAAATTAAAACACCGTAAAATAAAAACACCGTAAAATATCATCTACTGTAAATATTTATTTCATTATATTGTAGATCTATATGTCACCGTTTTAATGTTGGTAAAGCTATTGGTCTGCACATAGTAAGGCGCGTTATAAATGCTCTTATTAGTCTTCGAGAGCAATTCATAACATGGCTAACAGAAGACGAGGCAAATGAATCTATTAGTAGCATTTAAGCGGCAAAACGGATTTCCGAGTGAAATCGGTGCATTAGATGGAACACATATTGTTATAAATACTCCAAATGATCATTCTGAAGTATACATTAATCGAAAGGGCTCTCATTCTGCAGGTATTATTTTATTTCATTTCTTGCACATATCTATATAATTAATAAAAAATGGTAGTAACATGTAATCTATTAAAATTGCAGGTGATTTGTAAGCATAACTTACAATTTACTCATTGTTTCGTTGGCTATCCTGGATCAGTGAGTACATAATCAAAGAGTATTTCGACTCTCTGGTATACAATGTATTTTCGATGATTCGTTGAAATTTTCTAATAATAGTCATGTAATAGGAGATGCAGCCTACAAAATTCAACGACACCTATTAGTAGTTTAAAGATAATGGACGCTAATGGATGGTTTAAAGATAATGGATTAACGCAAAAGCAATGAAATTTTAACTATTGCTTATCTTTGACTCGAATGGCAGTAGAACGAACTCTTGAAAGAATGATTTAGAATGTTGCTAGATAAACTTCCTGTGAGGCGAACTGATCTTATTCCTAATTATGTAATGCGTGTTGCGTATTGCACAATATATGTATATCGAGGAATGACATGATAATATTCCGATATTTGTTGAAAACAATGACATAAAAAATGTAAGGAATGGAGAAGACGATAATATCAATCGAGAATTACATATTGAAGGTATACGGAAAAAAGAACGAATACAAAATGCTCTTGATATCCAGTTACCATAATTGTTTTATTATTACTGTACGTATATTTATATGTTATACTTATATAAACTAGAAATAAACTATTTATAAATATAAATTTAAATAAATATTTAAATATTTATAAAAATTATAAAAATTTAAAT